GGCATACGAGATTGCACACTCTTGTACACACACAAAAAACGCGGTCCAATTAAAGGTGCGTCAACCTAATTAGTAGGAGGAAATCGGCGCACGAAATCTCTTTTTTTTATCCTTGCAGGACTTTATCTCTCTCTCTCTCCCAGTTACCAAATAACAGCACGCACAAGGTGCCTATTTTTATAACAGCGTAATAGGATATCAGCAAACAGGTTTTGTCCTGCCTCTTTTTCTGAGAACCAAGCTCAATAGATTTAGAATTGAACGCCAATTTGTACCGATATCTTCGTTTAAAATGCTTGTGTTCCCTTTGTCAGCCGTTGCTTTTGCCTTTTGTTAGCTACAAAAAGACCGGTTCATTTTGTAAAGATAGATGGCAATCCTTCATCTATGCATTCAGACATCCTCTCACCTGCTACCTTGTATGAAGTATTCACAATAAAACCCTAGGGTGTGATTTTGAAAAAGAGACCTTTTATTGTGTGTTGTTTATTAGTGAATGCGCCCCAAACAGCATTGCCTTTGTTTGCATATTTGCTTAGCTACAAGCCGACGGGAAAAACAGTTCAACTGACCATCATGGATGATAAAAGACAACGTACCAGTTGATAGTCTTCAAAAGTATATTGTTATTAGTTGGTTATATTGGTCTCCAAAAAGACGGGATGGTGACCACTCTTGTTAAATCTAAGGGACATTAGTGTAAGGTTTGGGGTAATTGTCAGGTTTAGCTTAAGAGCACAGATGATTTGAGGGTTAAGTTTAGGGTTGCGTTCAATGCTGGGTTCAGAACGAAAGAGTATTTAAAGTTAAAATACATTTCTGATATGTATTTATGGATCGAACAGACTATTATATCACTCTCCATATCTTCAGGCAATTATGGTCTTTCTCTAAGTTCATCCAAAGGATTTCGCAAATAATCTCTATGGAAATTGTTATGGTGCTGAAAATTGGATTCCCAGGTGGTAAATCAGAAGAAGGAAGGGCGTTAACCGGGAGAGGTTTATTGTACGTCTGACGTTTAGGGTAGTTGTCTCCTCTACCCACCTTCAGAGAATGAACACCCTGGCTCGTTGTTCTCGTCTTTATGCCGCTATTTCTTCCGTGTACGTATTCTGCCAATTTCATCACTGTTTGTGTCTCGTGTCTCGCCTCCGGCCTCCTCGTTTACCCTGTCTGTCACCGGGTCGCCTGTGTGGCTTTCGCCCTCATTTGCGTCCACCCCGTCGGCCCCCGCCGCTCCTCGGCTTACTTCGGGTATATACACGTTAAGCTAGTTAAGCTAGTTGGTGGCCCTGATTGTTCCATGCCGTGACTGTCCCCTGATAAGAAGGCTCTCAAAACAACACAGGGGACAGGGACATTTTTGTGGCGGTTTACTTAACAGTCGGTCGACATCCAGGATCTTTCATTCTGCCTTGATATATGCTCATCACTTGGGCTGACAATTTCAACTGCGTCAAAGTTGAAGTCGTGCCCCATCTCCGCAGCATGGATCGCTTTATCCGACTTTGGGTTCAACCTTCTTAAAAACAGAGCTTTTATGCTCTGAAGATGGGTAGGCGAAGCAGCTACCGTAAACGTCAGACTTACAATAAAACTGTCACGGTGAGCGTTCTTCTTTCTCCTGACTATGGAAACTAACATATGAGTATTTATTCGGCAACAACAATAAATATGTTGTTGCTGGTTATACATATAAAAAAAGAGAATAAACTTGCCAAAATAAATGCCGAGTTCAACTGACTTTATTAGTTCAGGCTGAAAATAACTTTAAAATCGGTAGCGGGGAGGTATCGTGGATACGGTAGGCATGCGCTGATTCACATTTATTCCGTTTACGGTCGTCGAGAGACAAACCCAAGATCTAGGTTTCTTCGCAGATGGTGTTCATTGGAAGTGGCTTCATATTAACTATAAAGTGTCAATTATTATTAACGGACATTTCGTTGACCCATTATGTTCTCCGTAAACCTCCGTCTTATTACGATCACCTGAAGTGGTTTTGATTTTGGCCTTATCAAAACGAATAATTATTCGGCGTGGAGTGATATGGCCTAGCTAAATTTCTTGATAAAAGGTCATTTGAAGATGCCGGAATGATTGTGCAGTGTAAATGCGCCTGGCGTTTTCGAAGCAGGACAACGTAGGCGAACATTTAAAGTTATATTCATAAGCATTTGACACTGATCGTAATTTTGGTGCGCAAAAATGAAAATTAACAAGAAGGAGAGTATTCTTTAGAAGTGCTTACATACGTCTTTGTAAAACCCGTTTTTATCAATTTGTTGAACGTTTCAATTTGTATTACTAACCCTTTCAATGGCATCCTTCTGTAATCAGTCGATTGTATACGTCCTGCCTTACGGAGTAAAATGTTTAAAAAGTGGGAGTATTTCAATAGAAAATCGGAGAAGAATGCGTGCTACGGAACGCTGCCGTTGCCAATCAAAATGTAAACGCATTACAAGCCGCTTTGGAATCTATGCCTCTGAAAGTACAAGAACATCTTCCTAATGAGAAGTAGTTGCTTGCATTTGAGCAAAAATCAGAGATTGATGCAGTAAGAATATTTATTGCAACCTACAGATGAAGTGAACAGGGAACGGGTAAAGCAAGTTCTGCTCTCGTATTTTATTGTCAAAGAAAAAACGTCTGCAGGGATGACCTAATTGAAAAAGCAATGTCAAAAATAGAAACGTCAGGTGTGCTTTTTATATTCTCAAAGAGACACGAGATTCAGTAAACTACAATAAGAGGATCAAACTGTTTGTATTAGGATTTTTATTGTGAGCGCTTTTGTAAACTAGACAGGACTTTAAGCAACCTTCAACTTTCAAAAACTTAATTTTGTTATTCAGAGAACCCGTGGGTTTAGAAGCTCTCAAGAGGATAGCTTGGCAAACATCAAACTGTTTTGGAAGGAATTAATAGACAGGTATCGCAACAACCATTCTAAGCTACTTGGATATGATGTCATTCTAGGCAGACGGGCTCCCTGTCTCGGTACAGCACTAATCCGGCCACCAGGACAACTAGGCTCAACTCACACAACTCTTACTTACTTGTTTGTAATTGCTGCAGCTGTGATCATGACTGGTTTAGCCGGCCTTAATTATGTCCCGCACGGTACTTCGTGGCAGCAGACCTGGATCGTCCAATCTATTCTCTTCCCCAGTGCCGGAGGCCGTACACCGAAGGTACAGAAACCCCTTCCCCGCTAGCTGACAGACTGAGTCGTTCTGTTTTCGGATCCCTTTGGAAAGCACCCTCTCTTCTGTTGCAGTGATGACTCTGGAAGATAGGTTCACAACCTTCACTACAGACTGTTGGTTTGTAACAGCTGGTTGAGAAATAGTCTTCCATTTCTTGTCTAGAAGTAGCTTCTTCTTTCGTCTTTCCAGTTCTGATACGTGGGCAATTTTTTCACCTACTGATTCAAACAGAACATTTTGCCGAAGACTGAGTCGTGTCAGGTTTTGAGCTGATCCCACATTAACATTTACAATTAGATAACGGTTTCAGGTCGAGGACAGTAGCACCGAGCCCGTGAGGTTGACGACGATGAACGTGTCAAACCACCTCAGTCGCCCTTCTTGGATGGCCTGGGATATGCTTGAAATGCTGTCACAGAGAGTGCGGAAAGTCTCATTTGGGGCGAAGTCGGTGTACTTCACTCGAAGGATGATCCGGAAGCAGAAATGGTCAAAACTCTCCAGTTTCTTTCCACCTTCCACACTTATAGCCTAGCATTCACAGCCGTGTGGTACACGTGGAGATTTGTGGTAATAGAAATATCGCGTCGGGTCCATAAACGCTTTCGAAGTTTAGAGAAAAGTCGCCAAGGTGCGCCAATTCGGAAACCAATATCATTCTTACTCTGTCTATTTGGCAACAAACTCGCTCCGGGGTACTTGAAACTGTCTACTTCTTCAAGTTGATGACCATTAATCTTTAGATGTGCCTTATCTTGAGCAGTGATGCAGTATGAAAGCACTTTGGTCTTCCCAGCGTTTCTGGACAAACCGACCAACCGACAAAGCGACCTCGTTAGCGAGTGACACCATAGACTGTATATCGCCAAATCTTGGCGCTAGTAAAGCCTTTTCATCAACGTAGTCTAGATCAGTCAACCTGCGTCCGGGTGCAAGCTCAATACCGTCATTTTCACGTAGGACCTTCCCGAGAATCCAGTGAATGTCATAGTTTAATAGG